AAACAAACAAAAAAAAAAAACACAGCACTCGGGAGGCAGAGCCAGGCGGATCTTTGTGAGTTCGAGACCAGCCTGGGCTACAGAGTGAGATCCAGGACAGGCACCAAAACTACACAGAGAAACCCTGTCTCGAAAAACAAAACAAACAAACAAAGAGTATTCTGTGTCTGGTGGGAGTCTGAGAAACATGGGGACATAGAATCAAGGGAGGAGCATAAGACATGCAGTGGGGGAGAAAAGCAAGGAACTGTCACAGATCCCAGGCCTGGAGAAGCAACAGTCTGACTCTAGCCCAGGCGGAGTCAGGCTGCTCATTCCTGGCATGGGAGAATGCCCCTCAGCTGGACTGATGTTCCGCCATGATGCTCCCCGGAAGCTCCAGGGAGTAAGCTGCCCGCAGCCATGCCAAGGTAGACGCAGGCAGTGCCAGCCAGCTGCATCAGGGAGCTCCAGGCTTCTTGGAGAGGGGATTTTTTTCCTTGGCCTCCGACTTTCTCGAAGTCTCATGCCAGACCCCCACCCCACCCCTCCCCCGCCTGGATCTGAGCTAAACTGGAGGGAGATGAAAGGCCTGAGCTCTTAGAATGAGGTCACTGGCAAAAGAGAAAAGCAAGCACCCAGAGAGAAGTCCCCTTGACTTTTCAAATTAGTTTCCTACGGACTCCAGTCACTTTTCTGTAGAAATCCTTTATTTGTCCTCTGTCAGAGAAGAAGGAAATAGCTCGCAAGCTATAACTCAGGTGTGTCACTCAAACATGCACACATGTACAGGTTTTTTTTTTTTCTCCGTTCAGAGTGAGCCTTAAGACATGGTTGCCACTTGTAAAACTCTCCCTTTCACTGGGGTTGGAATTTTATTCTGGGGTTAGGTGTTAGGTCCTGCTCAACTTAATCCTCTGCTTAGTCAGTCTCTCTCTCTCTCTCTCTCTCTCTCTCTCTCTCTCTCTCTCTCTCTCTCCCACCTCCCTCTGTCCCTCCACATGCGCCCACACCCCACCCCACCCCACCCCACCCCACTACACCACACCACACCACACCACGGAGATGTCCTTCCTGGTCAGGTTAAGTAGGGCTAGGGTTGTAACTCAGCAATTTAGTGAGGTTTGTTGATGCGGTACCCAATTTCTTCTGTGGAGGGACGGGCCAAAATGGCATCACTGTTTACGCTGCTTAGTGGGGGAACTGTTTGAGCCCAAGAGAAGGCTGAATTAGCAATGGGATCGAGTACCAGTACTTTCTCCGCAGCTTGAGAACTCTAGAGAACAAAACATGGGGTTGTGAGGGCAGGGGGCGCGGAGAGGCCACTTGTTCAAAGCTTGTTTAGTCCTGAGCCTGGGGACCTCTACGAAGCCAGTCCCTACCATAACCGTTCCTTCTGAGTGATCAAAATGAGGAGCACTCCCTCCCAAACTGTTCTACTCACTAAAACCTTGGTCAGCTAGGGGCCGCACAGGACACAGGACATGATTTATGCAACGAGTGGTCAAGATGCCGCATCTCCGTCACCAGACAGAGTGGCTGAGAGTCGGCTGCAGGGTTCCAAGAAGGCTAGAGTCTAAAACCATTGAGGTGAAAAGTTGCCAGCTGCCGATCAACATCTGGTCATCTGTGCTGGGAAACAGAGACACACATACTTGGGGAAGAGGGCAGAGAAAACAAGATTAAGGGGAGGCGGGGCTTTGCTGTCCTTGAGTCACCTGGAGAGCTGTCAGGAAATAAGAAGGACAAGCCTCTTGTGTAATGGATCTGGACTCCTAGGAACACAGCCTGGGGATCTGTGTGTTTATTTTTAAATCTTCTAGATGGTTCCCAAGTAGAGCCAGGCTGAAGAAAACTACGTATTCAAATGAGGAAGAATCTGGGTGAAGAAACAGGGGTTTGGGCAACAGGGCGTGGGGTCCCAGGTTTGGAAAGGGAAGAGCTGAGTGCCGACGGTTCTGAGCCGGCTTGTGGTGGCCCCTAATGCTGACCAGTGGCCAAGAAAAACCCAGACTCCTTCACTCTGAGCAGTCTCAAAAGCAAGCTTTCCAGGGCTCAGCTGGTCTCCCGGGAGCAGGGTACCGTCGTGAGAGACCTGTCAGAAACAGAGACTCGCCATCTGTGTCTTTCCACAATGAATTTGCTAAAGGAGAATAAAATCACATTATGTCGGTTTCCTTGTCTTTCCTTCACCAACACCCCTAGCCTAGTATTTATGGACATGCTGCAGGCATCGGTTCTGTTCTTCCTATGTTAATGACTAACATCAGCTCCCGGGTCATATGTCACAGTTCACACGATGACACGTGAGTTAGAGGGCAGTTCAGAAAGGGTTAAAGCAGTGACAGGATCCAGAGGGGTCTTGCTGAAGGCCGGGCAGAGGGATCACTGCAGTTAGATGAACCCAGCTCAGCCACAGAGCTACTCTGGAACACACTGCAAGGCGCTGGGCTGGTTTGGGACATGCTGAGTCCAGACTAATTGTAACTGGTGGACTTAAGCGGGCCTCATCAAGCAAGGCCATCGTGTGGAGCTGGGCTCCAGAGATAGAGGCAGGCGTTTGCCACCTGTCAATCAATCACTGGGATCTTATGGATGCCATGACATGTGCACCAAAGAGTCTGGTGGCGGGCAGGTGGGTGCTACTGCACCCCAGGTTGGATAGCCCTCCTTTTGTGTGATCTGAGTAAGGAGTCTCACCTTGTTGGTCTCACACGGGTGGTGTGTCCCGTGTACCTGAGGGCCTCAGCCTAGCTTCCTGGCATGACTATGATGCATCCATGTACTCATGTGCTCCTGACTTAACTTGATAAGTTGTCAGGTGACAATATTTTATTTAAGTAAATACATTATTATCAGTCTGGGCCTTGTGGCCTGTGCTGGACTGATAGCGGCTGTTTACTTGCATAAACAAAATCAGGAGTCATTCTGCCTGGACGTGAGCACCCAAAACGGAGCAAACTGCTGCTTTACAAAGTGGAGTCACGCAGGACACAGCCTGAAGGTGTCTCCCCGCCATCCCAGTTCTGACGGGAGTAACCTGCTCTTCCCTCCAGGGGTGTGCTAAGAACAATTTTCTGGGCCTCTTGGGCCATTTCAACTGAAAGGTCTAGGAAAAGCTATGCCTCCCAGTCTAGGCAAGGTGTGTATCGTCCGAAGAAGCCCAAGCCCAGAAAATAATGCCCCCTGGAGCCTGGAAATGGGGGAGAGGATGGCTGGAGGGTAGAGGGGCCAGAAGAAGGTAGTACAGAGGGAAGGCATTGGGAATAGGAGAGGAAGGGAAGAGGGGAGATCAAGGGAGGTGGCTTTTCCCAGGTAAACCCGGGAGGGTGGGGTGTGGGTGGGGTGTGGGTGTGGAGAAGGTGCTTTCTTGCGTAGGCATTCTTGAGCCACACACGGTGATGACTAGGACACGGCTCCTTGAAGCGGCCCGCCCTCCCCTCTCCCCTTTCCCAACCCTTGTTATTTGGGGTGGGAGGTCTTCTAGTCACTTCCTTTGGGTCTTCCCAGGTGTTCACTCCTGCAACCACTTGTTCAGTCCCTTACTATCCCACTGTGACCACTATATAACCGTCAACGCCCAGGTCACCTCCACGGCATCATAGACTGAAGCTCTGGGCACTTCCCGGGTCCAGTCTGAGGAAGAATTAAAAATCTGTGACATTTCTTAAAGGGACCTGTGTCCACCATCGAGAGTGGTGAACTGAGCTTTGGGACCTGTGGGGACTGTTCATGCTCCCCCTCCTGAGGGGGTGTCAGTGGAGTCTGGGAGGCCACTGGGCCTATCAGCCGCAGAGGAACACCTGGGGAGGCCTCCAGTCACAGTGGGACCTAACTAGCAGTCATCCTGTGTACATGGCTGCTTATCAGATCCCTGCTTCTGTCAGGGAGGCGGGAGGGCTTGAGCACTAAGTGTTTGGAATTAAAAGGATCCTGGAGGTGGGGTCGGTTGCCCCCAAGAGATCTTTTAGCAGCAGAAAGTGAAAGCTGGGGTCTGAAATTCTTGCCCAGCTCACAGATATCTCTCCATCCAACCCTGTTGACCTTCTGTGGATCACCAGTGGGCATCCAGGCGCTAGTCACATCATTTCCTTATGTAATGGAGAGTGTACCAGGGCATATATTCTTTGGTGGGTAAGAGAAATGTCCGGGGTGGGGAGATAGGTCAGTGATGGAGCACTTTGTAGGAGGCCCTGGGTTCCACCCTTAACAACTAAAAAAAAAATAAAAAATAAAAAAATAAAAAAAAAATTAAACAGATTTTTAAAGAGTTGGACAAAGAAAAATGTCTGACTTCATATAGCAAATTCTTTCTCAGAGACAGAACCTTATATGCTAAGGGAAGGAAGACCTTTGCAAGAACACACTGTAAGATTTTACTTGTATGAATGAAGTCACAGACAGCCAAACTAAACCAGAGAGAGAGAAAAAAAACAACTCAGAACAGCTATGATGTAAGAATAGGATGGGGATTTCTTGGAATTGGGCTCCCAGGGAAGTTCACCCTCATATTCTGTGGGTGTTGATAGGAACCTGAGTTAGCCAAGGGTAAATGTTCAACAGAATTAGGTCCTGCGCAGTAAATTGATGTGTTTCATTATGAATAAAATTCGCCTCAAAATAGCTGTGGAAAATGCTGGACTGTGGTCAGTGATCCGGCACTGAAACATTGGTCTAGATGGAGATGGATGGCCTCACCTTGCTTTGAAATGCATCCAAAGAAGGGGGCTGGTGGGCAGCCAGGGTGTGGGCAGTGGGGAGGCATGGCTGAGACATGAAAGATTCCAGGTGACAGGCACATGGCTCTGGCAGCAGGGGTCTGACAGGTTTTCTGCATGTTCGTCGTTTCTCCTAATAAACCATGGAGGGAGAAAACAAGTCTTACCTCCTAAGATCATCCCCCCCCCCCCCCCCCAGGACTCTGAGAGTCCCTGCAGAGTGTCAGCACCTCACCAGCCCTCCAGCAGCCCAGAGCCGGACCAGCCCTGTCCCCCTTCCGTCAAGGTGCCTGGATTGTTCTTCCTTTGTTCTCCTGCATCAGGGTTGGGGACCAGTGACTTCATACCTCATTCATCCACTTGGAAAGTCCCCTGATTCCACTCCTACCCCCACTACCAGTAAGAGAAGCAGCGCTCTCCTGTTTTTAGAAACTGTCACACATCTTTCTGAAGCTCCACACTGTCCAGGATGATCCAATAGCCTCGCCCTGAGAAAGCTTCCTTTCTGTCTTACCTAAACCCTGCATGCTGCTTTTCCACAGAGGTCGCTGGAACCTGGGGCCGATGGTGATTAGCATATGTATGTGTTTGTATCCATGTGCTGGGCTGTGTCAAAGCAACCAGTGGGGCACAAAAATTAGGGGCACCAGGGTCAATCCAGGCTTTCTTCCGTGATGGCCCTTTGCCCTGCACTCCACCCAGTCACCTGACGTGGCCAGGCCACTGTAGGTAAAAGAGCACTTATTCAGTCATCCAGTCTGCTTTGGCCGAGGACTTCTCTCAAATGATGTATCCCTACCCAGAGGCCAAACCAAGTGGGAGGCAGATGGCCCTCTGGGTACAGAGGACACTAAAACCTGGGTCAACACAATGGCCTCTTCTTCGGGCCATCCTCATGGTCCACACTTTCTGAACATTTAAGTCAAACTGTCCAGCCTGGCAGTGCACAGAAATCCAAGGCTGAGCATTCTGTGTTGTGACGGACAGACCCTCAGTATCTACACAGGAAAAATGGAAACCCAAATAGCCCATGCCCACATCTCAGGCCATTGGCACAATTGGATGAGACCGCACTCACAGAAGATCTTTGTGAACTCCCAGGGCTTCACAGCTGCAAGGCATTTGCTCATAAACCCAGATGCATTACTGAAGGACTCGGATCCTTGCTGTTTCTTTGTTGGTTTTTGTTGTGTTTTTCAAGACAGGGTTTCTCTGTGTAACAGCTCTAGCTGTTCTGGAACTTTGTAGACCAGGTTGGCCTCTAATTCACAGAGGTCTGTCTGCCTCCCAAGTGCTGGGATTATGCCACCACCGCCTGGCTTGGTTTTTCTTGCTTTTTGTTGTTATTGTTGGTGGTGGTGTTTTGTTGTTGTTGTTAGGGTTTTTTGTTGTTGTTGTTTTGTTTTGTTTTTAAATAGCATCTCACTGTGTAGCCTTGGCTGGCCTTGAATCATGGAGATCCACCTGCCTCTGCTTCCCAAGTGCTGAGATCAAAGATGTGTGCCACCACACACAACTGGCTATTTGAGATCATATAACCCAGGCTAGTCTCAGACTCATTATATAACCAAGGAAAACCACGAGCGTCTGATCCTCCAGCCTCAGCCTCCAGAGCGCTGGGATTACAGGCGTGTGTCGCAACACCTGGCTACAGCCCTGTTTGTTTTCCGTCTCTGTGAGTGGCACCGCTTCCGCCACCGCCCGCTCACCATTTCCAGGAAGAGAATAAGAGTGACCGAGAAGCCACCGAGCCACCAGATTCTTTTTGAATCCCAAGGACCCTCACTGCTTGCCCTGGAGACAGAGGCAAGGCCAACAGGAGGGCTGAGCCCTCCGCCAGCCTTACTTACCTTAACACCTAGGAAGCCAGGAGATGGAAGTCCTGCTCCAAGTGATGCTGGGATCCCAGCTCGCCTTGACGAAGAGCAGAGTCTGGTACATCCAAATCAGAGTTCTGGAGGGGAAAGAAAGCAAGTGTCTAAGAAGGGACCCTCTATGGCCTTTCCCCCAGCTACCCTCCTGGGTTCCATCCAGTCACTGAAGAAAGGTATTGAGCTTCAAGAAGTGGCAGGAACAAGCCGGGCGGTGGTGGCACACGCCTTTAATCCCAGCGCTCGGGAGGCAGAGCCAAGCGGATCTCTGTGAGTTCAAGGCCAGCCTGGTCTACAGAGCGAGATCCAGGACAGGCTCCAAAAAAAAACTACACAGAGAAACCCTGTCAAAAAAAAAAAAAAAAAAAAAAAAAAGTGGTGGGAGCTCTTATCACCTGGACCTAAGTGAGGTTTGCAACCAGCTGTGTGTTAGAGAAGCCAATTCCTGCTGTGAAGGGAAGCTCATTGCAGCGGGTTATGATACCAGAAAGAACTCCCCTGACCCACTCCAAAGAGAGTAAACCAAGGCTGGCAGTGCCTTTGGCTTCACAGGGTCGTTTTAGGCCCAGATTCCTTCGAATTTGCCAGACCACCGTCGGCAGGCATGGTGGAGCCAGGAGTTAGGGAGAAAACATAGGAGAAGCAACACCCACAACTTGAGCCAGGGCACAGAAGTGGCTTGTCGTCCCCGGAAGTGCGGACACAGTCACACAGGGAAGGGAGACTGGGCCTAGCATCCTCATGGTGACCTTACTTCTGATGATAAAAGCTGGCAGTCTACACTACAGGAACCTCCTCCCGTGCTTCTGATGGACATGAGGTGGCTCCTGGCCATCATTTTCCCTGAGATACTTGTCCCTCAAGGGCTAGAGCTCTAAAATACAGCAGAAGGGTAGAATTTTCCAGATGGCCTTGCTTTGAGACTCACCTCATCATCAACAACAACAATAACAACAAAACCTGCAAGGACCAGTTTTGGGTTGGGGAGGGCTAGCGTGTAGCTCAGTGGTAGATACCCAGCCTCAGGTTCAACCTCAGATCCAAAACAAAATAAGCTTCAAGGAGAAAAACTGGAGAATCTCAAACCTAAAGCCAGCAAACTACAGTCCAAGGGAGATCCAGGTTAGCGAGAAGATGTGGTCCCCAGCCAGAGGGTCATGTTGCAAGCCCAGGCTCCTCATGGGAACACTTGGCCCTCCAGACCACGTAGCTGAATTAATTAAGCCTCTTCTCACTGCTCTGGGGCAGGACCCAGGTTGGCCACAGTCAATGACGTCAGCGGATAATACAGCTCGTATCTTAAGTGCCTCCAAAGCTCATGCGCTAAAGGCTGGTTCCGCTGCTGATGTCAGATGCTATTAGAAGATTGTAGAAGCTGCTAAGGTGCAGCCTGCCTGGAAGAAGATGGTCATTGGGGGAATACCCTTTTTTTTTTTCCCTCTCTCTGTTTCCTGGTGGTTTTGTCCCACCATGCAGTACCTGCCAGAAAGTTCTGCTTCACACAGACCCAAAGACAATGGAGTCAGCTGACCATGTACTGAAACCTTTGGAACTGTGAGCTAAAAATAAACGTCTCCTCCTCTCAGTGGCTTCTCCTGGTATCTTATCAGGGCCACAGAAAGCTGACTAACATGGCAAAACAGGACGCCAACATGCCTGGCATGCATGGTCCAGAAGAGGCACGTGCAGTGCTCCTAAGTGCAAGGGGTGAAGAGATGAACCCCAGGAGCAAGTGTGACCATTCGAGCCAAGGCCCTGATAGCAACTGGCCAAGTATCAGCCGAAGTCACCACCTACGGTGAGAGGGCAGGCCAGCCTGAGTAAGAAGACAGGCATCCTGGAGATATGGCTAGGCAGTCTCAGAAAACGGGAGAACATTCCCAGATGGCTGGGGAGAGGGGGCTTCACACAAAGGACAGCAGTGTCCGTGAGGAGGGAAGGGGCGCTCTTGGGGGGAGGAAGTGATTCGAGCCGTGTGCTTTCCGGGAATGACGTCACGTTTAATCTCCCCCACCTCCCTCTGAGGTAGGTGCTCTTGTTACCCACGTTTTTTGTTTTTTTTTTTTTTGCAAATGAGGAAACAGCTCAGAAAAGTTCAGTAACTTGCTGAAGCTGAGTGTGGTAGCACAGGCCTGTTATATAATCCAGCACTCGAGAGGCTGAGGCAGGAGAGCTGAGAATCTGAGGATAGCCTGGGCTACCTCGAGAGACTCTGTCTCAAAAACATGAACAGTAAAAAAATCGCACGCCCATTCCTCGGGGGAAAGCCGGAACCAACCTTCAGGAGATCTGGTTTCAGGGTCTGACAAACTCAGTCCCTTCCAGGGCCAGTGGTGGTGGTGTCACGTATCCCCGTGAGAGGCTCTCTTGCCCTTGGGGCAAACAGCCCCAGATGGTCACATCCCCGTCTGACAGGAGCCCTGGCTGCCTCTCGGCTCCTTGCTCCGTGGAGCAGTCCAGATCCTGCCCACAAGCTTGGCACCCTGCCTGCAACCTCAAGATGTCTTTGACTGGAATCACAGCCAAGGAGAATGTACCAGCAGGGTGAGACAAGCTGAATGCTGTGAGCAACCTGGCTGGAGCCGGGTCCTGAAGGAATGGTGTGACCTGGCCCGGGTGGGGTTGAGGGGCGAGCCTCTAAGAGAACTCCCAAAGCTGCTTCCGGTGGGCCTGTCCCTGAACTCCAGAGATGGAGATACATCTGAAGCTATGGACCCCAACAAGACCCAACGAGCCTTTGTCCCACCCACCCAGGGCCTGCCTGCTGGCTGAGGGGACTCAGAGAGGTACCTTTCCTGAATCCACCTCACTAGGGGACTCCACACACGTCATATGACCCCTGGCTCCCAGAAAGCAAGTGGAGTTGACACTGTTCAGGAGGAGCTGAGCAGTCTGAGGAACCAGGAGTTTGTCCCAGCTTCCTGCTCAGAAGGGACTTGCCCTCCTCTGGGGCTGACAGCTACCTCCACCCTAGCCTTTGGAAGTTTGGGGAAGGATTCTGAAAAGGGGGTGGGGAGGATCTGAGTCCTAAGTGCCCTGAGCTCAGAGGTTAAAAAAAAAAAAAAAAGCAATATAATGTTGATTTTGATGGGGGAGTCGTGGAGCTGACTAATTTGTGCCCCTTAAGCGCAGCCTCTGAGGGAACCTCAGAGTAGAGTAGACTCTCTAGGATAAATTGGTGGTGTTGGGGGCACAAGGTTTCTCACAAAGATATCCACACAGAGAGTGGATACTGCCCTAAAGAGTCTGTTTTATTCCAGGCAGGAGCACACCAGGCATCTACAGATCTGAGAGCTCCTTCCAACCAAGTAGGGGGCCAATCTCGCCAAGAGCTGGAAAGACCACAGGTCATTAAGGAACATGTGAAGGCTGGGAGGAGAGCAAAGGAGAAAGGTGAACTGTGTGTCCTCTGATCCCTTCCTTTATGAAGGTCTTCTTGTTCAGTCCCCACGCACCAACAGAGGGACCAGTGACCAAGGTACCAGAGTGAGGGTGCCTGTGGTCCTGGCCCTGCAGCTCGGAGGAAGGCCCTGTTGAAGCTTCCTGGCTGCCAATCTCGGAGGTTATGAGGGAGGGCTAGCAAGAGGGCGCTTCAGGGGCCATCTGCTGTATAGGATAGAGGCATCACGGGGCTGGGGTGTGGCTCCGGGGCAGAATGCTGAAGGATATCAATGCTGAAGATAGGCAAGTAGCCAGACAGTATGTGGTCACCTCAGAGCAGGGGTTTGTGCCCAAAGGAAGGAGTTAGCTTTACCACAGCACCTCCCTTCTGTCATGAGCCCCTTTCACAGATGGATAAACCGAACTTCAATCAAGCGGGCTAATGCTGTGCCTAAGGTCAGTCACATGACTAATAAGCACCAGGAGTCAGGACATCATCAGCCTGAAGTCAGCCTGAGGCCTCCTGGGGCCTGTCCTCAAGCAGCTGTGAGGAGACTTGCCACCTTGGAAAGCTCAGCATTTCACATTGGCAGAGGTCTGTGGTTGGAGTCACTGGGACCCTGGGAGGATTGTGGGTGATAAGCACCCTCTAGGCTTACCTTTTTTCCTAAAGCATGCAGACTTGGGAAGGAAAGACAGACATACACCGCCTTCTCCCAACTGACCCCAAATCACAAACACGGTTTTTCCATCTAATCCCCAAACTGAGCAAGCCAAGCCAGATGTGGAGACAGGATGTCATCCTGCAAACAAAGACGACCAATTTTGTGTTTCTCCAGTTATTTCAATTTCCCTGAAAACTGGGCTCCCTACACCCTGCCCTTTAAAGCATCCCCTATACCTAGTTACTAAGGTACAGAGCCCCAGAGTCAGAATTGCAGCCAGGAGGCCTGTCCATTACCATCAACAGCCCAGAACTTGTCCCCGCCAGACCTGTCCCCATGCCTGTCCCCACGCCTGGTCTCAGCATCTCCAGGCTGGCTTCAGCTGCCTTGGACAACTCCTACCTAGGCCACCAACTTCTGGTTCTGAGCAGTATCACCGGCTCTTTCCCTTCATTTTATTTATTTGTCTATTTATCATGAATATGTACACACACATACATATACACACACAAACACATACACACACAAACATACATACACACACAAACACATATACACATACCCAGACACACACATACCCACACACACATACACAGATACACACATACATACACACAAACACATACATACACACACACAAACACATGCACACATACACAGACACACACAGACCCACACACACATACACAGACACACACATACCTACACACACAGACACAGACAGACACACACACACACACATACACAAATACATACACACAGACACACACACACACAAACACACACACACACACACACACACACGGGTCAGTGGGAGGCTGGCTCTTCTTTCATTCCACCATGGGGTCCCAGGGGCCAGGTGATCAGGCTTGG